CCTCATCAAGATCATCGATATATATTATAAACAACAACGGGCCTAAGACTGATTCCTGTGGAACGCCACTTGTTATAGATCCCCATTCGGATTTAACCCCATTTATGGACACTCTGCTTCTTGTCTGTGAGCCATGACTCAATCCATGAGAGCACTTTTGCCCCAACGCCATGAGCTGCCACTTTCTTTAACAGTCTATGGTGCGGTACTCTATCAAGAGCCTTACTAAAATCTAAATAAGCAATATCGAATTCTTCATCATGATCAACAGCTTTACTGAAGAAGGTTAATAAATTAGTTAGAGAAGACCGGCCTCTTGTGAATCCATGCTGAGTATCATTAATCAAGCTATGCTTATCGAGATGGCTTCTTATAATCTCAACTATAATTGACTCTAGTAATTTGCCTACAATTGAGGTCAGGCTTACTGGGCGGTAATTTGACGGTAACGACTTGTCCCCTGTTTTAAAAATAGGAATTACATTAGCCATCTTCCACATATCAGACACTACACCTGTTTGAAGAGATAAATTAAAAATATTAGTTAACGGTTCACAAAGTTCCATTTTACATTCCTTAAGAACCCTTGAAAAACCCTCATCAGGACCCGGCGACTTATTTTGCTTCAGTCTGTCTATTTGTTTCATAACCATTTCACTAGTGACTGTGATGTTACATAATTTATCTTCTTCAGGCCCACTATAAAAATTAATTACTGAGATATTGTTAGTGTCTTCCTGTTAAACACCCAGAGAAAATAATTATTTAAGATCGAACACATTTCATTCTCTTTGTCAGTAAGATGCCCCAAATTATTTTTAAGGGGACCTATCTTATCCCTAACTTTTGTTCTATACACCTGGAAAAAACGTTTGGGTTAGTTTTTGAATCCCTGGCAACTTTAATTCGTAGTCTCGTTTAGCTTTTCTTTTTCCCTTTTTAACATCCCTCTTAATGTCAATATACTAATTCATAAGATGACCCTCACCTCTTTTGATATGTCTATAAATTCCTTTCTTCTGTCCTAAAAGATATTTGAGCCTATTATTCATCCATTTGGGGTCATTTCTATTCGACCTAATTGACTTAGTTCTGGCAAACAATGAATCCCTTGTTAATAATTTAGAAGTTTCAGAGGAACTGGGTGCCAGCGACCACAAATCAATTACATTTAGCATTGAATGGAAGTACGATAGTAGCGATAACTCAGTAACAGTCCCAGATTTTCGCTTAGCAGATTACGATGGGCTTAGAGAACACTTATCATCTGTTGACTGGGGTAACGAAGAGAGCTATCAATATGACAGTTTTCTGAACACTATACATGCTGCTCAAAGAACGTTTATCCCATATAAAGAAATTAGATCAAATAGAAATGACCCAAAATGGATGAATAATATGCTGAAATATCTACTAGGGCATAAGAAAGGAATTTATAGGTGTATCAAAAGAGGCGAGGGTCATCTTATGAATCAGTATATTGACATTAAGAGGGACATTAAAAAGGGGATAAGAAAAGCTAAAAGGGACTATGAAATTAAAGTTGCTAGGGGTTCTAAAACTAACCCAAAAAGTTTTTTCCAGGTATATAGAACAAAAGCCAGAGATAAGATAGGTCCCCTTAAAAATAACTATGGACATCTTACTGACAAAGAGAATGAAATGTGCTCGATTTTAAATAATTATTTTCTCTCGGTTTTAACACAGGAAGACACTAATAATATTCCTGTAATTAATTTTTATAGTGGGCCAGAAGAATATAAATTATGTAACATCACAGTCACTAGTGAAATGGTTGTGAAGCAGATAGACAGACTGAAGCAAAATAAGTCACCGGGTCCTGATGAGGTTTTTTCAAGGGTTCTTAAGGAATGCAAAATGGAAGTCTGTGAACCATTAACTAATATTTTTAATTTATCTCTTCAAACAGGTGTAGTGTCTGATATGTGGAAGATGGCTAATGTAATTCCTATTTTTAAAACAGGGAACAAGTCGTTACCATCAAATTCCCGCCCAATAAGCCTGACCTCAATTGTAGGCAACTTACTAGAGTCAATTATAGCTGAGATTATAAGAAGCCATCTCGATAAGCATAGCTTGATTAATGATACTCAGCATGGATTCACAAGAGGCCGGTCTTGTCTAACTAATTTATTAACTTTCTTCAGTAAAGTTTTTGAGGCTGTTGACCACGATAAAGAATTTGTTATTATTTACTTAGATTTTAGTAAGGCTTTTGATAGAGTTCCGCACCAAAGACTGTTGAAGAAAGTAGCAGCTCATGGCATTGGGGAAAGGGTGCTCTCGTGGATCGAATCATGGCTCACAGACAGGAAGCAGAGAGTGTCCATCAATGGGGTTAAATCCGAGTGGGGATCAGTAACGAGTGGCGTTCCACAGGGATCAGTCTTGGGCCCGCTGTTGTTTATAATATATATCAATGATCTTGATGAAGAAATTACTAGTGATATGAGCAAATTCGCCGATGACACGAAGATAGGTAGGATAATTGATTCAAACGTAGATGTTAGGGAACTTCAGGAGGATTTAGACAAACTCTACTCTTGGTCAGAAAAGTGGAAGATGCAGTTCAATGTAGATAAATGAAAGGTTCTGAAGCTCGGGAGTGTCCATAACCCTAGCACTTATAAGTTAAATAATGTAGAACTTAGCCATACAGATTGCGAAAAGGACTTGGGGGTTATGGTAAGCAGCAACCTTAAACCAAGACAGCAATGCCTAAGCGTACGTAATAAGGCAAATAGATTACTGGGGTTTATATCAAGAAGTATAAGCAACAGAAGTCCAGATTTCATACTGCAGCTTTATACATCATTAGTAAGGCCTCACCTAGATATGCAGCTCAATTCTGGTCTCCATATTACAGAATGGACATAAATTCGTTAGAAAACATTCAGCATAGGATGACTAAATTAATACATAGCATTAGAAATCTTCCTTATGAAGAAAGATTGAAGACTCTTAAGTTACATTCACTTGTTAGACGAAGAATGAGGGGAGACCTGATCGAAGTGTATAAGTGGAAGATAGGTATTAATAAAGGGGATATTAATAAGGTCTTGAGGATATCTCTCCAAGAGAGAACCCGCAGTAATGGATTTAAATTAGATAAGTTTTGATTTAGAAAGGACATAGGAAAGTATTGGTTTGGAAATAGGGTAGTTGATGAGTGGAACAGTCTACCTAGTTGGGTTATTGAGGCTAGGACTTTGGGTAGTTTCAAATTTAGGTTGGATGAGTACATGAGTGGGAGGGGTTGGATTTGAGTGGGACTTGCACATCAGAGCTTATTTCTTGGGTAGCATTGAAAATTGGGTTGGTCAAATGTTTGTTAGTGGGATGAATTGTAAAGGACCTGCCTAGTATGGGCCAACAGGCCTGCTGCAGTGTTCCTCCTTTCTTATGTTCTTATGTTCTTATAAATGTTCTTTGGGCAGCATGTATAGTGTTAAGAAAGTTGTCACATTGATAGCTCTCTTCGTTATCCCAGTCCACAGATGATAAGTGTTCTCTAAGACCATTGTAATCTGCTAAGTTAAAATCTTGGACCATTACTGAATTATCCATACTATCACACTTCACTCAGTGCTAAAGGTAATTGATTTGTGATCGCTTGTGCCGAATTCCTCTGTAATTTCTAAATTATTAACAAGGGGTTGTGTGTTGTGTTGTGTTGTATGTTGTGTTGTATGTTGTGTTGTATGTTGTGTTGTATGTTGCGTTGTACGTTGTGTTGTATGTTGTGTTGTAAGTTGTGGTTTGTTGTGTTGTGTGTAGTGTGTTGTTTGTAGTTGTGTATATATCAGTATATATACACTATGTACACACACCTGTCTATGCTTACACATACACACATCTGTGGATATTATTCAGTGTTGTCTACATCTGAATATCAAAATGGTATACAATACTGACAGGTTGGTAGGTAAGACACATAGGCAACAGTTAGGCAACTTTATTCCGAAATGTTTCGCCTACACAGTAGGCTTCTTCAGTCGAATACAGAAAGTAGGCAGGAACAGTAGAGATGTGAAGACGATGTAATCAGTCCATCACCCTTGAAGCCGTAGATTTGAGGTTGTCAGTCCCTCAGCCTGGAGAAGTTCAGTTCCATAGTCAGGAACTATCTGAAGATTAAGTGACAGTGCGGAGACTTAAATCTTGGTACAGAAAACAACTTTGACAACTTTTTCAAGCGAGAATTGTTTGATCTGAGAGGGACGTGACCTCTCAGTGGCTACATTCTCACTACTACTACTCTGCACCTCTCCTTCCGACAGTATTTAAGTCTCCGCAAATGTCAAATTGATCTTCAGATAGTTCCTGACTAGGGAACTGAACTTCTCCAGGCTGAGGGACTGACAACCTTAAATCTACGGCTTCAAAGGTGATGGACTGATTACAAACGTCTTCACATCTCTACCTTTCTCCTGCTACTTTTTGTATTCGACTTGAAGAAAGCCTTTCTGTGTAGGCGAAACGTTTCAAATGAAGTTCCTAACTGTTCCATGTGTCTTACCTACAACTGTACATCTTTACCATACAGTGCCCGGGGGGGGCCTGGTGGGGGCACAAGCTGGGGGCTTCCACGTGAGGGCCGGGTTTGATTCCGGCAAGGGGTGTAAACATGGTGAGTTTCCTACACGTTGTCTATGTTCACCCTCATAAATGGGTACCTGGGTGTTGTGGATAGTGGGTCGCATCCTGGGACAAATTTCCTATTTGCGGGAAATGCTCAGTATAACAAGGGACTTTCTATACAGTAGTATGTTATTGATGTCAACTATGGTCTGTATACCTTGTACATGTACTTGTAGTATATAAAGATATTATATTACTAGTATTATTATAATCTACCCATATCGACCAGTATTTGCCATTTATCTACTAGTATCTACCAAAATTTCATTTCAATATAACAATCTCACTAACAATCTAACAATCAGTAACACTCTAACAATTGTATTGTTGTTGTACAGACCTGGAGAGCGAGTGCTACCCTGCCATACCTCTGTGTGAAGCTGTGTGTTGTGTGGTAGCAGCCACCACTACCACTACCACCATCACTGCCACCACTACTACCACTACCACCATCACTGCCACCACCCCTACCACCACCTCTACCACCACCAGTCTATCCCACACGTCTACTTTATCCACCAGCAGTACCCAGCAGGAGGGACTATCTACCTCTGCTTTCAAAAGGGCTTTGATGTCACCTATGTCACCTTTGATTTCTAGGTCCCCTTCACCTGAGGTGGCACCTAGCAAGGTGCTGCCTGCTGGGGCAAGTCCTGCTGGGTCACCTACTGTAGTTACCATGCCTTCTATAAGGGTAAGTGTTCACCTAGCAGTATGTACCTGGGTGTTGTGGGTGGCATCCTGGGGAGGATGAGAGGTATTGGCAAGTCACCTAATGCCTGCTGCTGTTAGTGTTCACCTAGTAATATGTTAAGTACCTAGGTGCTATGGGTGGCATCCTGGACAGGGTGAGACATATGAGCTGATTAAGAACATAAGAACACTGTAGCAGGCCTACTGGCCCATACTAGGCAGGTCTTTCTCAAACACAAACCCATTAAACAAATCATATGCCCAACCCAGTACAGACAGTACTTACTGTAAAGCATGGTGTTGGATACCTAACCTTACACAACTGTTGTACAACAATGACAGAAAAGCAGAAAATGCGTCGAACATAATGACTGACCCCTCAACTGGATAGTGGGAGACCAAAAAGTGGGAGCCTAAAATGTGGGGCCTTCCTGTACTTTGAAAAATTCAGTTGTGATTATGGTGGGAACCTGTGTTCTACCAGGACTATTGTTACACTTGAACTGCAGTGCACATGAAAAGAATTTGCCACTTGCAAAATACCTTCTACTATGGTAATGGGTGTACAACCCTCTACAATATCATTGGGGAAGTGGAAAAGAATCTTTCCTCCGTAAGCCATGCGTGTCGTATGAGGCGACTAAAATGCCGGGAGCAATGGGCTAGTAACCCCTTCTCCTGTATACAATTACTAAAAAAGAGAAGAAGAAAAACTTTATAAAACTGGGTTGCTTAAATGTGCGTGGATGTAGTGCGGATGACAAGAAACAGATGATTGCTGATGTTATGAATGAAAAGAAGTTGGATGTCCTGGCCCTAAGCGAAACAAAGCTGAAGGGGGTAGGAGAGTTTCAGTGGGGGGAAATAAATGGGATTAAATCTGGAGTAATCTGAGAGAGTTAGAGCAAAGGAAGGGGTAGCAGTAATGTTAAATGATCAGTTATGGAAGGAGAAAAGAGAATATGAATGTGTAAATTCAAGAATTATGTGGATTAAAGTAAAGGTTGGATGCGAGAAGTGGGTCATAATAAGCGTGTATGCACCTGGAGAAGAGAGGAATGCAGAGGAGAGAGAGAGATTTTGGGAGATGTTAAGTGAATGTATAGGAGCCTTTGAACCAAGTGAGAGAGTAATTGTGGTAGGGGACTTGAATGCTAAAGTAGGAGAAACTTTTAGAGAGGGTGTGGTAGGTAAGTTTGGGGTGCCAGGTGTAAATGATAATGGGAGCCCTTTGATTGAACTTTGTATAGAAAGGGGTTTAGTTATAGGTAATACATATTTTAAGAAAAAGAGGATAAATAAGTATACACGATATGATGTAGGGCGAAATGACAGTAGTTTGTTGGATTATGTATTGGTAGATAAAAGACTGTTAGTAGACTTCAGGATGTACATGTTTATAGAGGGGCCACAGATATATCAGATCACTTTCTAGTTGTAGCTACACTGAGAGTAAAAGGTAGATGGGATACAAGGAGAATAGAAGCATCAGGAAGAGAGAGGTGAAGGTTTTATAAACTAAAAGAGGAGGCAGTTAGGGTAAGATATAAACAGCTATTGGAGGATAGATGGGCTAATGAGAGCATAGGCAATGGGGTCGAAGAGGTATGGGGGTAGGTTTAAAATGTAGTGTTAGAGTGTTCAGCAGAGTTTGTGGTTACAGGAAAGTGGGCAGGAGGGAAGAGGAGCGATTGGTGGAATGATGATGTAAAGAGAGTAGTAAGGGAGAAAAAGTTAGCATATGAGAAGTTTTTACAAAGTAGAAGTGATGCAAGGAGGGAAGAGTATATGGAGAAAAAAGAGAGAAGTTAAGAGAGTGGTGAAGCAATGTAAAAAGAGAGCAAATGAGAGAGTGGGTGAGATGTTATCAACAATTTTGTTGAAAATAAGAAAAAGTTTTGGAGTGAGATTAACAAGTTAAGAAAGCCTAGAGAACAAATGGATTTGTCAGTTAAAAATAGGAGAGGAGAGTTATTAAATGGAGAGGTAGAGGTATTGGGAAGATGGAAGGAATATTTTGAGGAATTGTTAAATGTTGATGAAGATAGGGAAGCTGTGATTTCGTGTATAGGGCAAGGAGGAATAACATCTTGTAGGAGTGAGAAGAGCCAGTTGTGAGTGTGGGGAAGTTCGTGAGGCAGTAGGTAAAATGAAAGGGGGTAAGGCAGCCGGGATTGATGGGATAAAGATAGAAATGTTAAAAGCAGGTGGGGATATAGTTTTGGAGTGGTTGGTGCAATTATTTAATAAATGTATGGAAGAGGGTAAGGTACCTAGGGATTGGCAGAGAGCATGCATAGTTCCTTTGTATAAAGGCAAAGGGGATAAAAGAGAGTGCAAAAATTATAGGGGGATAAGTCTGTTGAGTGTACCTGGTAAAGTGTATGGTAGAGTTATAATTGAAAGAATTAAGAGTAAGACGGAGAATAGGATAGCAGATGAACAAGGAGGCTTTAGGAAAGGTAGGGGTGTGTGGACCAGGTGTTTACAGTGAAACATATAAGTGAACAGTATTTAGATAAGGCTAAAGAGGTCTTTGTGGCATTTATGGATTTGGAAAAGGCGTATGACAGGGTGGATAGGGGGGCAATGTGGCAGATGTTGCAAGTGTATGGTGTAGGAGGTAGGTTACTGAAAGCAGTGAAGAGTTTTTACGAGGATAGTGAGGCTCAAGTTAGAGTATGTAGGAAAGAGGGAAATTTTTTCCCAGTAAAAGTAGGCCTTAGACAAGGATGTGTGATGTCACCGTGGTTGTTTAATATATTTATAGATGGGGTTGTAAGAGAAGTAAATGCGAGGGTCTTGGCAAGAGGCGTGGAGTTAAAAGATAAAGAATCACACACAAAGTGGGAGTTGTCACAGCTGCTCTTTGCCGATGACACTGTGCTCTTGGGAGATTCTGAAGAGAAGTTGCAGAGATTGGTGGATGAATTTGGTAGGGTGTGCAAAAGAAGAAAATTAAAGGTGAATACAGGAAAGAGTAAGGTTATGAGGATAACAAAAAGATTAGGTGATGAAAGATTGAATATCAGATTGGAGGGAGAGAGTATGGAGGAGGTGAACGTATTCAGATATTTGGGAGTGGACGTGTCAGCGGATGGGTCTATGAAAGATGAGGTGAATCATAGAATTGATGAGGGAAAAAGAGTGAGTGGTGCACTTAGGAGTCTGTGGAGACAAAGAACTTTGTCCTTGGAGGCAAAGAGGGGAATGTATGAGAGTATAGTTTTACCAACGCTCTTATATGGGTGTGAAGCGTGGGTGATGAATGTTGCAGCGAGGAGAAGGCTGGAGGCAGTGGAGATGTCATGTCTGAGGGCAATGTGTGGTGTGAATATAATGCAGAGAATTCGTAGTTTGGAAGTTAGGAGGAGGTGCGGGATTACCAAAACTGTTGTCCAGAGGGCTGAGGAAGGGTTGTTGAGGTGGTTCGGACATGTAGAGAGAATGGAGCGAAACAGAATGACTTCAAGAGTGTATCAGTCTGTAGTGGAAGGAAGGCGGGGTAGGGGTCGGCCTAGGAAGGGTTGGAGGGAGGGGGTAAAGGAGGTTTTGTGTGCGAGGGGCTTGGACTTCCAGCAGGCATGCGTGAGCGTGTTTGATAGGAGTGAATGGAGACAAATGGTTTTTAATACTTGACGTGCTGTTGGAGTGTGAGCAAAGTAACATTTATGAAGGGATTCAGGGAAACCGGCAGGCCGGACTTGAGTCCTGGAGATGGGAAGTACAGTGCCTGCACTCTGAAGGAGGGGTGTTAATGTTGCAGTTTAAAAACTGTAGTGTAAAGCACCCTTCTGGCAAGACAGTGATGGAGTGAATGATGGTGAAAGTTTTTCTTTTTCGGGCCACCCTGCCTTGGTGGGAATCGGCCGGTGTGATAATAATAATAAAAAAAATACTTTCTACTGTGTTAATGGATGCACAACCCTCTACAGGATTGTTTCCTCCCAGAAACAAACTCTTAAGCAGGAAGGATAACTTAAAGTGTGAAGCTTATTGGTAGTTGGCTGTGTCCCACAGGTGCAACTTCAAACACACATAAGGAACAAGAATTCACAATACGCTGACTGGAACATTACAATAAATCCTCAACATACAAACATCTTGAGACTCTTCTGTGCTCCAGTTCCCTGAATTGAACCTGAATGCCTTCCATCCCTGCCCCGACAGGCACTGTATAATCCCTATGGGTTTAGCACTCCCAACGATAATAATAATGTGTATCTCATTATTATACACAATACACAAGATCCCCCAATGTCATTGTAAGTTGAGGACTTACTTGACACAAATAACCCACAGATAGGAGAGAGGAACTTATGGCATTAATCCAACTTGGTTCATCCACAAGTCACAGTGTGACTTGTCGATGGTCCAAATTGGGCCAAAACATCGCCATGAGGGTTTCTCTATGTGCGGGTTATTTGTGTATACATAATGTGTTGGTATAATAGCTTAACGTAGGAATTTACAGTTTATAGCCAGTCAACAATTACACTGCTCAACCTAGACACTGATACATGTAGTAATCCCACACATAAATACAGGTCAACAACAACAAAGACTTACACAGTACGAAATGCAGCTTCTTCTACAAAGATTAAAAGTTCACTCAATTAGTACTAAATGAAAATGTAAACCCACTTCTTTTGAAATCAGCAAATGTTTAAATTCCTGTAAATTATCCTGTCTTAGCCTAATCTGCATTATTCACTGGTACTTAGATATCTGTATGCAGGTAAAGTAGCCTATCTTAGCCTAACTTGCATTATTCACTAGTATGTCCCAGCAGAGCTTAGCCATGGTAGACTTAACCTATTTTATGAACTTGCTTCACATCAGATTCAGAGTACCAGTAAAAAACTTTTTATGTGGAAACTCACTGGGCGCTTGACTAAGACAATTACTCCTGATGTCTTAGTCTACCTTAATAACCCCAATATTGTAATGATTCAAGGCTCCCTATGTTACATCCGAGGCCCAGATTCCTCCAAATACTACGCGTAAGTTAAGGTTGTGTTAAGGTTGTGTTAAGGTTGTGTTAAGGTTGTGTTAAGAATAAGGATATTGTAAAGTTCTAGATGCAAAATGCTCAATACACGTATTTGCAAAATGTTGGTGGGGATTTTAGGAAACTACACAAATTTCCACATAGCAGTGTAGTAGATAGACTTGAAACCCAGCAAAGTAACCCCTGTACAGTAGACAGACTTTCAACCCAAGTCAATCCTCATGTACTAGATAGACTTAAGACTATGTGTAATAGATAGATATTCAACCCAAATAAATCCTCATGTAGTAAAATGTAAATGTATATTTCCTTGCAAAGATTACAATGTTTGGTTTATATATAAAATATTAATTACAAAGAAGGTCACTGGCAGGCCTAGGCATTTTGGGCAGACTAATACTAGTTCTTACTCTGTACTGACACAGGTTATGGAGCAGTACATTTTAATATACCTTACTGCATACTAGGTAACTGAAGTGATTAATTAGATTTATAATAATGAGGAAGTACAAAACATATAGAGTAACAATATTACAATTAGTAAATTTAGTAATGGGAATGGTTAAGTCTTGGCATGATACAATGTTTATAATAAAGTTTCTGTACAAGACATACACTTTTTTTCTTGTACGTACTACATACTATACAGAACATTAAACTCCACTGTAAACCCGCCCCTAAAACTACTCCTCAAAAGTTACAACAGAATGCACAGTCACAATGCAAGGAATAAAGCACTTTTCAACATCCCTCGAGTCAGACTCTCACTATGTTTACCTGGAGAGAGTTCCGGGGGTCAATGTAAGAACGCTATGCACATAAAAGGCCCAAAGATCTGAAACTCGCTACCGGAACAGGTCGAGGATCCCCAGACAGCTTATAAATTTAGGACTTTGCTAAAAAAATCATCTTGTATCATAATATTAACCAAATCAACCAAACATCTACTAACTAGTTTTATTATGTGACCTCTAGGCTCTTAATTCTGCAAATCCATAAAATATGTAATCTTATTTCTCAATATTAACCAAATTGGCCAAAACATCCACTAATTAGTCTTATTATGTGACCTCCCGGCTTTTTAATTCTGCCATTCAATAAAATATTACCACCAGCACCATTACTTGTAAGGTAGATTTTGAGTGCAATTTCAAGCTTATTCTACCAAACCCTACCCACTTGTATTAAGTTTAAAAAAGATTGTAAAACAGCTAACCACTATTACTTGTCTAGTTTTAAGTATAGTTAATATGTACTGTTATCTTATCTAGTTTTAATTAGTTACTATATATTACGATTAGTTTGCCCAAAATGCCTGGGCATGATAGTGGCTATACCTGGAGTTTACCTGGAGAGAGTTCCGGGGGTCAACGCCCCCGCGGCCCTGTCTGTGACCAGGCCTCCTGGTGGATCAGAGCCTGATCAACCAGGCTGTTGCTGCTGGCTGCAAGCAAACCAACGTACGAGCCACAGCCCGGCTGGTCAGGAACCGACTTTAGGTGCTTGTCCAGTGCCAGCTTGAAGACTGCCAGGGGTCTGTTGGTAATCCCCCTTATGTATGCTGGGAGGCAGTTGAACAGTCTCGGGCCCCTGACACTTATTGTATGGTCTCTTAACGTGCTAGTGACACCCCTGCTTTTCATTGGGGGGATGTTGCATCATCTGCCAAGTCTTTTGCTTTCGTAGTGAGTGATTTTCATGTGCAAGTTCGGTACTAGTCCCTCTAGGATTTTCCAGGTGTATATATTTTCTTTGTACTTAGCAAATCAAAATTATAATTACACATTGTAACCTTCACAAAGAAATAAACTTTATATTGGGAGAGTATCTTAGGCAAACTTAAGGCTAACTTAAGATTTATTAGGTAATAGCTATATTAGGAATTTTATGTTACAGCAAAGTAACATTTATGAAGGGATTCAGGGAAACCGGCAGGCCGGACTTGAGTCCTGGAGATGGGAAGTACAGTGCCTGCACTCTGAAGGAGGGGTGTTAATGTTGCAGTTTAAAAACTGTAGTGTAAAGCACCCTTCTGGCAAGACAGTGATGGAGTGAATGATGGTGAAAGTTTTTCTTTTTCGGGCCACCCTGCCTTGGTGGGAATCGGCCGGTGTGATAATAAAAAATATAAGTCAATTATAGGGGAATAACAGATATCAAGAATAAATCTATTTTGTTTTCGATGTGTTCATGATACAAAAAAAGATAATAGTTAGTTGATGATGGGATGTGTTAGGGAGATAAGATGTTTTTAACGGTAGTTTTGAAAATGGTGGTCGAGTCTGTAGTTCTAGAGTTTTCAGGCGGGAGTTCCAGATTTTAGGCCCTTTTATGTATATTGAATTTTTGTAGAGATTTAGCCGGATTTGGGGAATGTCATAGAGATTTTTGTGTCTGATATTGTGCCTGTGGGTCCTGTCATAACTATCAAGAAAGTGTTTTAGTTCAGGATTAATATTAGGATTTAAGATAAGATAAGATAAGATTTCGTTCGGATTTTTAACCCCGGAGGGTTAGCCACCCAGGATAACCCAAGAAAGTCAGTGCGTCATCGAGGACTGTCTAACTTATTTCCATTGGGGTCCTCAATCTTGTCCCCCAGGATGCGACCCACACCAGTCGACTAACACCCAGGTACCTATTTGCTGCTAGGTGAACAGGACAACAGGTGTAAGGAAACGTGTCGAAATGTTTCCACCCGCCGGGAATCGAACCCGGGCCCTCTGTGTGTGAAGCGGGAGCTTTAGCCACCAGGCCACAGGGCCTCTCAAAACCTCTCAAAACCTTTTAAAAAAATTATGGTTCTGTAAATGTAGATTGCAGAGTAGTAGGTGTGAATGTTCTGTACAGTGAGTAAGTTTAGATATTTGAAGAGTTAGGGGGGGTTGTCTAGCATTGGATTGCATAATAATTCTTACTGTGGCTTTTTGTTGGGTTATTATTGGCTTTAGGTGGGTTGCTGCTGTTGAAACCCAGGCACAAATAACATACATGAGGTAGGGATAGATGAGTGAATAGTATAGTGTGAGTAGGGATGATTGTGGTACATAGTAACGTATCTTAGAGAGGATCCCAATTGTTTTGGATACTTATTTTTGTTGTGTGTTGTATATGGGTGTTGAATTTCAGGTTGCTGTCAAAGTGTAGGTTCAGGAATTTGCTCTCATTTTGTTTAGCAATGAGAGTGTTGTCAATCATAATGTTCAGTTGTGCAACATTTGCTCTGTTACCAAACATAATACAGAAGGTTTTGTCAGTATTAAGTGTAAGTTTATTGGCAGTCATCCAGGTCGATATTTTTACTAGCTCTCCATTAACAACGGTGTTGAATGAGGCAAGATTTGGGTGGGAGATAACATAAGTCGTGTCGTCAGCAAAGAAAATAGGTTTAAGGTGTTGTGATGCATTAGGACGATCACTGATGTATAAGAGGAAGAACAGGGGACCAAGGACACTTTCCTGTGGTACTCCAGTATCCACTGGTCTTGTTGATGAGGTTGTGCCCTTAACAGAGATGTGTTGATGCCTGTTAGTAAGGTAGGATTTGAAATATGTAAGTGGACTTTAGACTTAGCTCAGCAGATAGACTTTCAACCCAAGTCAACCTCACATAGTAGACAGACATTGAAAAACTATCTATCTTACAGAGCAGCCTGGCAGTGTGTCGACCTAGCTCAGTGGTAGTGACCCAGAGGAGTCAACCTGGGTTGATGCAGTCAACCTCAAGATTGGGGTTGAATTCCCTAACTCTGAGGTTACCTACCTCAGCCTCCACCACATCCACTGATGCAGGTGGGTTCAAAACCTTTCAGAATCTCTCAAAACCTCTAAAAACCTCTAAAAACGTTTCAGAATGTTTCAAAAATAATGCAAAACCTCTCAAAACCTTTTAAAAAAATTAAAACCTCTCAAAAATCTCTCAAAATTTCTCAAAAACCTCTCAAAACCCTTCAAAAATTATTCAAAATTTCTCAAAAACCCTAAAATCCTCTCAAAACTATCTGTAATTAGTCAAAAAATTATTTTTGTTTTGAAAAATCTCTCATTATTAAGGAAATTTAGTAAATAAAAACACATACATATTATTCAGTAGCCTTAATATTTATGTTAATATTATAATGTATACTTGATGTTTATGTTAATATTATAAGAACATAAGAATGGAGGAACACTGCAGAAGACCTACTGGCCCATACAAAGCAAGTCCTTATCAAAACGACCACTACCTAAAGCTACCCAAGAAATAACTCCCGTACCCAATGACACCAATCAAACCCAGCCCCTCCCACTCATATATTTGTCCAATCTCTTCTTAAAGCTACCCAAGGTCCTAGCCTCTATCACCCCACTAGGAAGACTGTTCCATGCATCCACAACTCTGTTAAAAAACCTGTACTTACCTATGTCCTTTCTAAATCTAAATTTATCCAACTTAAATCCATTATTTCTGGTTCTTACCTGGTTCGACACCCTCAGTACTTTATTAATATCTCCCTTGTTTATGCCCGTCATCCACTTATACACTTCAATGATATTTCCACTCATTCTACGCCTCTCCAGAGAGTGGAGATTTAAGGCTTTAAGTCTATCTTCATACGGGAGGTTCCTTACACAGTAAATCATTTTAGTCATTCTTCTCTGTATGTTTTCTAATGAGTCTATGTCCATCCTGTAGTAAGGGGACCAAAACTGAGCAGCATAATCTAAATGAGGCCTCACTAGTGATGTATAGAGCTGTAAAATAACTTTTGGACTTCTGTTACTTATACTTCTTGAGATAAATCCAAGTAATCTGTTGGCCTTGTTGCGCACACTAAGGCACTGCTGTCTTGGCTTTAGATTTCTGCTTACCATGACTCCCAAGTCTTTTTCACATTCTGTATGACCAAGCTCTACTTCACCTAGATTATAGCTTCGAGGGTTATTTTCATTACCAAGGGCAAGTACCTTACACTTATCCACATTGAACTTCATCTGCCATTTTTCAGACCATGTAACTTGATGTATACTTGATGTTTGTGTTAATATTATGATGTATACTTGATGTTTATGTTAATATTATTATGTATAATTGATGTTTATGTTAATATTATGATGTATACTTGATGTTTATGTTAATATGTATACTCATCCTGATGTTTATGTTAATGTGATTAAGACACATGTGCAACATCTGGGTATCTTTATTGTAGACGTTTCGCCATCCAGTGGCTTTATCAATACAAATTCTAGGACATAACTTGAAGACAGTAGAACTATGTACAGAAGATGAGGTAATCAGTCCCTCAACCTAGGAGTAGGTGTGAAGAGCACCATAGTCGTGGAGATTCTGGAGATTCGTGGAGAATCTCCACGACTATGGTGCTCTTCGCACCTACTCCTAGGTTGAGGGACTGATTACCTCATCTTCTGTACATAGTTCTACTGTCTTCAAGTTATGTCCTAGAATTTGTATTGATAAAGCCACTGGATGGCGAAACGTCTACAATAAAGATACCCAGATGTTGCACATGTGTCTTAATCTCAACTTGTCGGTATTATATACCATTCGTACACATGTTTATGTTAATATGATGTATACTCATCCTCACTCATCCTTCAGAGTACTGGTACTGTACTTCCCACCTCCAGTACTGTAACATTCTCACTCATCCTTCAGAGTACTGGTACTGTACTTCCCACCTCCAGTACTGTAACATTCTCACTCATCCTTCAGAGCACTGGTACTGTACTTCCCACCTCCAGTACTGTAACATTCTCACTCATTCTTCAGAGCACTGGTACTGTACTTACCACCTCCAGTACTGTAACATTCTCACTCATCCTTCAGAGTACTGGTACTGTACTTCCCACCTCCCGTACTGTAACATTCTCACTCATTCTTCAGAGCACTGGTACTGTACTTACCACCTCCAGTACTGTAACATTCTCACTCATCCTTCAGAGCACTGGTACTGTACTTCCCACCTCCAGTACTGTAACATTCTCACTCATTCTTCAGAGCACTGGTACTGTACTTACCACCTCCAGTACTGTAACAATCTCACTCATCCTTCAGAGTACTGGTACTGTACTTCCCACCTCCCGTACTGTAACATTCTCACTCATCCTTCAGAGTACTGGTACTGTACTTCCTACCTCCAGTACTGTAACATTCTCACTCATCCTTCAGAGTACTGGTACTGTACTTCCAACCTCCAGTACTGTAACATTCTCACTCATCCTTCAGAGTACTGGTACTGTACTTCCCACCTCCAGTACTGTAACATCTTCACTCATCCTTCAGAGTACTGGTACTGTACTTCCCACCTCCAGTACCGTAAAATTCTCACTCATCCTTCAGAGTACTGGTACTGTACTTCCCACCTCCAGTACTGTAACATTCTCACTCATTCTTCAGAGTACAGGTACTGTACTTCCTACCTCCAGTACTGTAACATTCTCACTCATCCTTCAGAGTACTGGTACTGTACTTCCCACCTCCCGTACTGTAACATTCTCACTCATCCTTCAGAGTACTGGTACTGTACTTCCCACCTCCCGTACTGTAACATTCTCACTCATCCTTCAGAGTACTGGTACTGTACTTCCTACCTCCAGTACTGTAACATTCTCACTCATCCTTCAGAGTACTGGTACTGTACTTCCCACCTCCAGTACTGTAACATCCTCACTCATCCTTCAGAGTACTGGTACTGTACTTCCCACCTCCAGTACTGTAACATTCTCACTCATCCTTCAGAGTACTGGTACTGTACTTCCCACCTCCAGTACTGTAACATTCTCACTCATCCTTCAGAGTACTGGTACTGTACTTCCTACCTCCAGTACTGTAACATTCTCACTCATCCTTCAGAGTACTGGTACTGTACTTCCCACCTCCAGTACTGTAACATTCTCACTCATCCTTCAGAGTACTGGTACTGTACTTCCCACCTCCAGTACTGTAACATTCTCACTCATCCTTCAGAGTACTGGTACTGTACTTCCCACCTCCAGTACTGTAACATTTTCACTCATCCTCCACAGGATTCCCCATGCCTCCTACACCTCCATCCTGCTGTGGAAGTGACACAGAGTGTGGAACACATTCTCCTAGGCCTACCCAGCCTCTCTATGAAGTTCTTACACCACAGTTCTGTAACCCCAGGAAGAACCCTAGGCCTGTAGTGGCCTCCAGACATCCTATCAACACTCCGCTTATCTCTACACAGCCGGTAAGTGGACCATCCTACACTCCACTGTAATACTACCCTCTTATATGGCCCTTATGGACCTACTGTAGTGAGGTTATACCTTGTGTATAACACTAGTCTTAATGGTGTAGTAGATAGACTTTAAGCCCCATTAACCAGTCTTAATGGTGTAGTAGGCTTTAAACCCCATTAACCAGTCTTAATGACCCTGGTATATTAGACAGCCTGTAAACCAGCAATAATAACTCTCATTAACCAGCATACCCCATTAACCACCAAACCTAGAGTATACCACACATAAGAGAGCACACAGTATACCCTACATAAGAGAGCACAGTATACCCTACATAAGAGAGCACAGTATACCCTACATAAGAGAGCACAGTATACCCTACATAAGAGAGCACACAGTATACCCTACATAAGAGAGCACAGTATACCCTACATAAGAGAGCACAGTATACCCTACATAAGAGAGCACAGTATACCCTACATAAGAGAGCACAGTATACCCTACATAAGTGAGCACACAGTATACCACACATAAGAGAGCACACAGTATACCACACATAAGAGAGCACACAGTATACCCTACATAAGAGAGCACACAGTATACCCTACATAAGAGAGCACAGTATACCCTACATAAGAGAGCACAGTATACCCTACATAAGAGAGCACAGTATACCCTACATAAGTGAGCACACAGTATACCACACATAAGAGAGCACACAGTATACCACACATAAGAGAGCACACAGTATACCCTACATAAGAGAGCACACAGTATACCACACATAAGAGAGCACACAGTATACCCTACATAAGAGAGCACACAGTATACCACACATAAGAGAGCACACAGTATACCCTACATAAGAGAGCACACAGTATACCACACATAAGAGAGCACACAGTATACCCTACATAAGAGAGCACACAGTATACCACACATAAGAGAGCACACAGTATACCACACATAAGAGAGCACACAGTATACCACACATAAGAGAGCACACAGTATACCCTACATAAGAGAGCACACAGTATACCACACATAAGAGAGCACACAGTATACCCTACATAAGAGAGCACACAGTATACCACACATAAGAGAGCACACAGTATACCCTACGTAAGAGAGCACACAGTATACCACACATAAGAGAGCACACAGTATACCCTACATAAGAGAGCACACAGTATACCCTACATAAGAGAGCACACAGTATACCACACATAAGAGAGCACACAGTATACTCTACATAAGAGAGCACACAGTATACCCTACATAAGAGAGCACACAGTATACCCTACATAAGAGAACACACAGTATACCCTACATAAGAGAGCACACAGTATACCACACATAAGAGAACACTCAGTATACCCTACATAAGAGAACACAGTATACTCTACATAAGAGAATACACAGTATACCCCACATAAGAGAGCATACAGTATACCCCACATAAGAGAGCATACAGTATACCCCACATAAGTGAGCATACAGTATACCCTACATAAGAGAGCATATAGTATACCCCACATAAGTGAGCATACTGTATACCCCACATAAGTGAGCATACAATATACCCCACATAAGTGAGCATACAGTATACCCCTCATAAGTGAGCATACAGTATACCCCACATAAGTGAGCATACAGTATACCCCACATAAGTGAGCATACAGTATACCCCACATAAGTGAGCATACAGTATACCCCACATAAGTGAGCATACAGTATATCCCACAGAAGAGTATACAGTATAGCCCACATAAGTGAACATACAGTATACCCCACATAAGAGAGCATACAGTATACCCCACATAAGTGAGCATACCCACAAGTCTGTACTTTTGCAGAAAGGTGCCACTGGAGCACTAAACCTGACTGAGGAGGAGAAACGGACCTTATTATGTGAGGGCTACAGTATACCCAGTAGACTACCTTTAACCAAGGCTGAAGAGAAGACCTTGAAGAAGGTCAGGAGGAAGATCAAGAACAAGGTGGGTCTTTAAGACCTTTAAGAATATCAAGGCAGGCTTTTAAGACCTTCAAGAAGGTCTAGGTGTATATATAAGACCGTCAAGAAAATCTAGGTGGGTTTTTAAGACCTTCAAAAAGGTCTGGGTGGGTTTTGAAGACCTTCATGAACATCTAAGTGGATCGTTAAGACCTTCAAGAAGGTGTAGATGGGTCTACAAGACCTTCATGAAGGTCTAGGTAGGTCTACAAGACCTTCATGAAGGTCTAGGTGGGTCTTTAAGACCTTCCATCTACTCTAGTTTCAGGCTTTTATTAACTACCTGTACAAAACATGTAAATACCTGTACAAGACATGTAGCTACCTGTATAAGACATGTAACTAATATCAGACACATAACAATCTGTATAAGACATGTAACAACCTATACAAGGCAGGTAACAACCTGTATAAGACAAGTACCTATCTGTTTTAAACCTGTAAATACTTGCATAAAATAACTTGTATAAAACATGAAAATACTTGTATATGACACATAACTACCCATATTAAACACGTAAGTACCCATATAAAACATGTAACAACCCATATAAGACATATAGCCTGTATAAGACATGTACTTGCCATTGCAGATCTCTGCGCAGGAATCTCGCCGCAAGAAGAAGGACTACATGGATGCGTTGGAGCGGAAGGTTGAGCGCCTCAGCACCGAGAACCTAGAAAACAAGCGACGTATTGAGGTCCTGCAGAGTTCCAACTCACAGCTGCTGCTGCAACTGCAGCGTTTGCAACACTCTGTGGAGCAGGATGAGAAGTACCGCATTAGGTCCACCCCCATAGCAACCCTCCTGGCTTGATGGTTAGTGGATGATATTGATGGTTTAATGGATAGTATTGATGGTCAGTAGATAATATTAATGAGTTAGTCAGTGGAAGGTGTGAGTCAGTTGGGCACAAACTCCTGGCCCCATCTTACATAACCTAACCTCTTAACACACAGTAAACACCCAATTCAGTGGACATTTTCCCTTATATCAGAGCAACACTGAACTATAACCCGTCATGTGTTTGTACAGATATTGTATGGGGACACACCTACCCCCCCACACACACATATCTAGACCAACAAGAACAGGAATTGTTAGGTAAGACACATATGCAACAGTTAGGTATCTTTATTATGAAACGTTTCGCCTACACAGTAGGCTTCTTCAGTCAAGTACAGAAAAGTAGAAAGAAGCAGAAGATACTTGAAGACGATGTAATCAGTCCATCACCCTTAAAGTTTTGAGGTGGTCAGTCCCTCAGTCTGGAGAAGAGCATTGTTCCATAGTATGAAACAATATATTGTTTCATATGTACTATGGAACAATGCTCTTCTCCAGACTGAGGGACTGACCACCTCAAAACTTTAAGGGTGATGGACTGATTACATCGTCTTCAAGTATCTTCTGCTTCTTTCTACTTTTCTGTACTTGACTGAAGAAGCCTACTGTGTAGGCGAAACGTTTCATAATAAAGATACCTAACTGTTGCATATGTGTCTTACCTAACAACCTGTCAGTATTTTATACCATTTTAATGTTCAAGAACAGGAATTATAATACAAGCAATGAAAAAAGTCTGTAAGTGAAATTCCTTTGGTGGGAAGCCATAGAACATAACCACAATTTATTTGTATATTTGTTTATCCTCTTTCATAAAATATGTATTACTTATTACCAAACCTCTTTCCATAAATAGCTCAATTAAAGGCTCCCCATTTTCATTTACCCCTGGCACCCCAAATTTACCTACTACTCCCTCCACAACATTTTTACCCATTTTAGCATTGAAATCCCCAACCACAAGTACTCTCACACTTGGTTCAAAACTCCCCACACACTCACTCAATTCCCAAAACCTCTCTCTCTCCTCTACACTTCTCTCTTCCCCAGGTGCATATACACTTACTATAACTCACTTTTCACATCCAACCTTTATTTTACTCCACATAATCCTTGAATTAATACATTTATACTCTTATCTTTTAACATTATTGCTACTCTTTCTTTAGCTCTAACTCTATTTGAAACCCCTGACCTAATCCCATTTGCTTCTCTCCACTGAAACTCTCACACACACACACACTCTCCTAACTTAACAATGGAGTTGTGTTCCTAAGACCATGTCAGTAAATGAATTCGTCGCCAAGTGAGGAGCATATTATAATGGTAGTGGGTTTGTGTCAACCATTTTTAATAATTGTTTTAATATCACCTTTTATAGTAATTGATTTGGGTGCTTACCCAAGTGGGGGTCAATAATAAAGCTTCAGAGACTGTTACTTTATTTGGGTTCTTGGTACACAGGCAGTGTGTTTAAGTTGCCCAGGCTCGTAAGGCCATGCCCGGGAGAGAGTGATGAAGTAGACCTTGTTGACTGAGTGAGCTTGGCTGCCTGAATGAGACAGGGTAAGCATGGTGAAGGCTGAGATTGGTAGGCCTATAGATGGCAGCACCATAGTGCAGCAAAATATGAACCCAACTGGGCATACGCTTTGCACAGTTTATAACATTTCTGGTATATTTTTAAATGTTTATACAGTAGTCTACTGTATATTGTAATAAACAGGATAGAGGAAATCAGCTCTAATATACGTTATTTAGGTATGCGTAATGGTCAGAGAGCCCGTCGTAAGTCTGAGTCATTGGTAACTGACAGTTTGCGACGTATTCGTTTACCAATGACTCAGACTTACGACGGGCTCTCTGACCAGCATGCATACCTAAATAATGTACTATATTAGAGCTGATTTCCTCTATTCTGTTTATTACAATATACAGTACACTACTGTGTGAGATATACTGGGTGAGATATAAGCGACTATTGGCAGAAAGGTGGGTTAGAGCAAAGATGAGTAGTGGGGGGGTTGAAGAGGGTTGGAATACTTTTAAAAATGCAGTATTATATGGTGGGGCAGAAGTTTGTGGTTATAGGAGGGTGGGGGCAGGAGGAAAGAGGAGTGATTGGTGTAATGATGAAGTAAAGGGTGTGATAAAAGAGAAAAAGGTAGCTTATGAGAGGTTTTTACAAAGCAGAAGTGTTATAAGAAGAGCAGAGTATATGGAGAGTAAAAGAAAGGTAAAGAGAGTGGTGAGAGAGTGCAAAAGGAGAGCAGATGATAGAGTGGGAGAGGCACTGGCAAGAAATTTTAATGAAAATAAGAAAAAATTTTGGAATGAGTTAAACAAGTTAAGAAAGCCTAGGGAAAGTATGGATTTGTCAGTAAAAAACAGAGTAGGGGAGTTAGTAGATGGGGAGATGGAGGTATTAGGTAGATGGCGAGAATATTTTGAGGAACTTTTAAACGTTAAGGAAGAAAGAGAGGCGGTAATTTCATGCACAGGTCAGGGAGGTATACCATCTTTTAAGAGTGAAGAAGAGCAGAATGTAAGTGTGGGGGAGGTACGTGAGGCATTACGGAGAATGAAAGGGGGTAAAGCAGCTGGAACTGACGGGATCATGACAGAGATGTTAAAAGCAGGGGGGGATATAGTGTTGGAGTGGTTGGTACTTTTGTTTAATAAATGTATGAAAGAGGGGAAGGTACCTAGGGATTGGCAGAGAGCATGTATAGTCCCTTTATATAAAGGGAAAGGGGACAAAAGAGATTGTAAAAATTATAGAGGAATAAGTTTACTGAGTATACCAGGAAAAGTGTACGGTAGGGTTATAATTGAAAGAATTAGAGGCAAGACAGAATGTAGGATTGCGGATGAGCAAGGAGGTTTCAGAGTGGGTAAGGGATGTGTAGATCAAGTGTTTACATTGAAGCATATATGTGAACAGTATTTAGATAAAGGTAGGGAAGTTTTTATTGCATTTATGGATTTAGAAAAGGCATATGATAGAGTGGATAGAGGAGCAATGTGGCAGATGTTGCAAGTATATGGAATAGGTGGTAAGTTACTAAATGCTGTAAAGAGCTTTTATGAGGATAGTGAGGCTCAGGTTAGGGTGTGTAGAAGAGAGGGAGACTACTTCCCGGTAAAAGTAGGTCTTAGACAGGGATGTGTAATGTCACCATGGTTGTTTAATATATTTATAGATGGGGTTGTAAAGGAAGTAAATGCTAGGGTGTTCGGGAGAGGGGTGGGATTAAATTTCGGGGAATCAAATTCAAAATGGGAATTGACACAGTTACTTTTTGCTGATGATACTGTGCTTCTGGGAGATTCTAAAGAAAAATTGCAAAGGTTAGTGGATGAGTTTGGAAATGTGTGTAAAGGTAGAAAGTTGAAAGTGAACATAGAAAAGAGTAAGGTGATGAGGGTATCAAATGATTTAGATAAAGAAAAATTGGATATCAAATTGGGGAGGAGGAGTATGGAAGAAGTGAATGTTTTCAGATACTTGGGAGTTGACGTGTCGGCGGATGGATTTATGAAGGATGAGGTTAATCATAGAATTGATGAGGGAAAAAAGGTGAGTGGTGCGTTGAGGTATATATGGAGTCAAAAAACATTATCTATGGAGGCAAAGAAGGGAATGTATGAAAGTATAGTAGTACCAACACTCTTATATGGGTGTGAAGCTTGGGTGGTAAATGCAGCAGCGAGGAGACAGTTGGAGGCAGTGGAGATGTCCTGTTTAAGGGCAGTGTGTGGTGTAAATATTATGCAGAAAATTCGTTGTGTGGAAATTAGGAAAAGGTGTGGAGTTAATAAAAGTATTAGTCAGAGGGCAGAAGAGGGGTTGTTGAGGTGGTTTGGTCATTTAGAGAGAATGGATCAAAGTAGAATGACATGGAAAGCATATAAATCTATAGGGGAAGGAAGGCATGGTAGGGGTCGTCCTCGAAAGGGTTGGAGAGAGGGGGGGGTAAAGGAGGTTTTGTGGGCGAGGGGCTTGGACTTCCAGCAAGCGTGCATGTGCGTGTTAGATAGGAGTGAATGGAGATGAATGGTACTTGGGACCTGACGATCTGTTGGAGTGTGAGCAGGGTAATATTTAGTGAAGGGATTCAGGGATTCAGGGAAACCGGTTATTTTCATATAGTCAGACTTGAGTCCTGGAAATGGGAAGTACAATGCCTGCACTTTAACCCTTTGACTGTCGAAGGGCCCAATCCTGAAGTTGCTCCTGGTGTCGCAAAATATTCGAAAAAAAAAAAATTATTTTTTCTTATGAAATGATAGAGAATCTTTTCCCGATTGTAAAGACACCAAAAAAACGAAATTTGATGGAAAACTGACGGAATTACGCTCTCGCGAAGTTAGCGACTTCGGCGATATTTAAAAATCGGCAATTTCGCCCACTTTGAGCCCTATTTTCGGCTAATTCCGTTATTCCAGTCAACCAAACTCATAACTATTTCTTCAGAACTCTATTTTTTCTATCGATTGAGCACAAGAAACTGCCCATTTACCGATTTCAACTACCCAATAACATGGTCAGAAATTTGCAATTTGGCCAATTTCATGAAAATTAAAAAATACGACAATTTCAAAATAAGGTCCAGAATGAACAATGCAGACATTCCTGGCTCTAAAATAAGATTTTCTTTGTTCATCAGTCATGTCTCCAGGTCCCTGTGATATTACTCTTGCTTTTTATTTTGAAATTTTATTCAAACAAAAAAATAGAAGATTTACTGTTATGCAGACTACTGCAATACTGTAATAATTGTAAAAATTACATCAACCCATTCATGACTGCGTATTAGAATGGCTATTTGGACATTTATTGGACAATGACATCATTTGTTTACTTTTGAACATCGGCAAAAATCAAACATTTCCTGTACTTTGTGCTCCATTTCCAGGTTCTTTTTATAGTAAAATTAATCAAAATCACCTCCATTTCTATAATATAGTTTCCATTCTATCAAATGAGACCAAGAAAACGAGAATACAACCACAAATACTATACGAAAATAGACCACAAAGTCGGCATTTTAATTAAAAAAAACGGTCGGAGTTTTTTTTTTCTCATTATGCACTGCGTGCTCCAGGATTTTTTTTATGTGGTGCACACTGACCACACAGACCCATTCTCTCACATGTGGGCCTACTAGCTTTCTCCTGCCTGATTTGAAGCCGCTAGAATTTATGAGTATATATACGTCAAACACGGTACCTCACAAACGTATATATACGGCCGTGACAGTCAAAGGGTTAAAGGAGGGGTTTGGGATATTGGCAGTTTGGAGGGATATGTTGTGTATCTTTATATGTATATGCTTCTAAACTGTTGTATTCTGAGCACCTCTGCAAAAACAGTGATAATGTGTGAGTGTGGTGAAAGTGTTGAATGATGATGAAAGTATTTTCTTTTTGGGGATTTTCTTTCTTTTTTTGGGTCACCCTGCCTTGGTGGGAGACGGCCGACTTGTTGAAAAAAAAAAAAAAAAAATATATATATATATATATATATATATATATATATATATATATATATATATATATATATATATATATATATATACAGTGGACCCCCGCATAACGATTACCTCTGAATGTGACCAATTATGTAAGTGTATTTATGTAAGTGCATTTGTACGTGTATGTTTGGGGGTCTGAAATGGACTAATCTACTTCACAATATTTCTTATGGAACAAATTCGGTCAGTACTGGCACCTGAACATACTTCTGGAGTGAAAAAATATCGTTAACCAGGGGTCCACTGTATATATAATATATATATATATATATATATATATATATATATATATATATATATATATATATATATATATATATATATAATATATATATATATATACGTACATACGTACATACATATACATGTATATATAAATTGTGGGAGTATTATATTATTATTATAATCAAAAAGAAGCGCTAACCTACAAGGGCTATACAGCGTAAACTGTGGGGAACCATAGCCTCGGAGGATGATTAGAATAATATTGACATTATCATTTTTTTTCATTTCAGAGGTCTGTCCTCAACTTATCCGCTCAGCGGGCATCATTGGTTCATTGTTCATCCACCCATTCATCCGCTGTGCTGGAAGACAAGTGGAAAATCCCTCCAGTTGTTTCAAGATGAGTGCCTGGCACCCAAGTGGCATTATTAGTTGACTAAGGACGTGGGGCGGCAAGAAAAATTTCCCCTCAAAAATTCTCCACCCAACTAGGCCTCTCCTAGTTTTCTACTAGGCTTCTCCTAGGACTCTGCTAGGATTCTCTTAGGCCTCTGCTAGGCCTCTCCTATGCCTGTGTTAGGTCTCTCCTAGGCTTCTCCAAAACCTCCACTAGGATTCTTTTAGACCTTTCCTAGGCTTCTAGGCCTCTGCTAGGCCTCCACTAGGCCTCTCCTGTATACAGTCACTATAGCTGCCCCCGTAACATTATCTCTGTACATTCCATAATACCTAAGTTATCATTCACTGTTTTTAAGTTATCGAGTTCAATCAACCCTTGATATAACAGGATTGTTCCACTGTTCATTAAACGTGAACACTTCAAAAATAACACAAAAAACACACACATAACTCACACAGAAGAATAAAATGTATGTCTACATTTGGGCTCTCCGAAATAAACTTAGGTACAGTACTCTCGAATAGTGATTTGAGCTTGCCTACCTGAGTTACTCCCAAGCTCTAATTTCAGCAAAATACCAATGCCTAAATCACACAAAATACTAACTTACGATATTTTTGACTTATGATATTTTTTACTTACAATATTTTCGACTTACGATATTTTTGACTTACGATATTTTCAACTTACGATATTTTCGACTTGCCATATTTTCGACTTGCCATATTTTCAACTTATGATGGTTTGACTTACAATATTTCCAACTAACAACGAGTCAGTTGGAACACAACCCCATCGTAAATCAAGGACCACCTATATACAAATTAAAATTTCTTTGCATAATTTACAATGTGTGATTTACACATTATAACTGTTGAGTACAAAGCCACTAGCATGCCTAAGCATTTCAGGCAGACTAGTCCTAAGGCATACAGCCTACTTAAAGTTAGACATAGGTTATGCAGTAGTAAATTTTTATTATTCATTATATTACCTTATTACTAAAGGGAGGTAACCAGAAATTTTATAATTAAAATAATTTATAGGTGTGTATTGATATTTTAGATTAATTTGTCTTCAGTTATTTGGGATATTTTGAGTACAGAAACTCCTCACTTAATGACCACACGAACTTACAACCAGCTCTCTGACCAATCGCTCTATGTGGAAGATATTGAAGAATTAGTGGAATATGTCGAGGGAGAGCCAACTAACAAAGATTTAATAGAGTTGGAAGCACAGCAGCACTTGGGAGAGGAAGAGGAGGAAAGAATGGTAGAAGTATGGAACAGGACTCGGTTGTTAAGTGAGGAGTGCCTGTAGATTCCAACTGGTTGAATGATTACCAGCATAGTTTAGTGTTGGTGTAGTTATGTTTGGGAGATGAAATGATTTTTAATTATAGCCTCAAACTGATTGACAGACAGGAGACCTTTTGCTGGTTCAGGGCAATGAATGTTAGATCTTGGGGTCCTTTATGTGCATTGTATTTTTGCATAAGGTGAAATGAGCATGAGGAATGTCAGATTGAGTTTTGTGTCTTGTGTTGTGCCTCTGTGTTGTGTTGTATTATGCCTGTGTGTTCTGTTTGTGTTGTACAGAAGGCCGTGCAGACCAACTAACTCACATTAATACAAATCTCATAGATTTCGAAAAAGAAATGGATAACATGCCCACTCACTCAGCACCTGGACCAGACTCATGAACTGTTCTGTTTATAAAAAGGTGCAAAGTACCACTAGCACACACCCTCAGTATACACTGGAGAAAGAGCCTAGATCTAGGTGAAATACCAGAGACTTTAAAGCGTGTAGACATAGCTCCTTTGCATAGAAGAGGTAGTAGACCACTAGCTAAAAATTACAGACCAGTAGCCCTAACTTCCCACATCATAAAAATCTTCGAAAGAGTGATGAGATGGCAGATTAAAAAATTCAGGGACAAGCACAATCAACATAGCCCAAACCAGCATGGTTTCAGAGCAGGACGATCATGCCTGTCACAGTTGCTGAACCATTATGACAGAATTATGGAGGAATTGGTAGACGACCAAAACACAGATGTGATATACATAGACTATGCAAAGGCATTTGACAAATGTAATCATGGAGTGATAGCACACAAAATGAGAGCCATGGGTATTATGGGGAAGGTAGGCAAATGGATTTTTGGGTTCCTAACACACAGAACACAAAAAGTAGTAGTAAACAGAGCAAAATCCAGCATCAGCGAGGAAACAAGCTCAGTTCCTTAAAGCACTGTCCTGGCACCTCTGTCATTTCTCATCCTCATAACAGACATAGATAAAAGCACCCATCACACTTTTGTATCATCATTTGCAGACGACACTAAAATAAGCATGAAGGTCACTACAGTTGAAGATGCTGAAAAATTACAGGAAGATATAAGCAGTGTTTTCCAGTGGGCAGTGGAGGACAACATGACATTCAAAGGTGATAAGTTCCAACTGCTTAGGTATGGAAAGAATGAAGAACTTAAAAGGAACACTCTATATAAAACTCAAGAGGATCACCAAATAGAACGAAAGGAACACATAATAAGACAAAGATCACAACAGCCAGGAGGATGATTGAGTGGGTATTGAGAACTTTCAGAACAAGGGAAATAATGCCAATGGTGACACTTTTCAAATTGCTAGTGCTCCCTCATTTGGAATACTGATCAGTGCTGATGGCCCCATTCAAGGTAGGAGAAATATCAGAGCTTCAACAAATACAAAGATCATTTATGGCCCTCATAAAGCCAGTAAAGCATTTAAATTACTGGAAACGCCTTAAAATCTTGAAGCAGAGGAGAGCTACATGATAATATATAACTGGTGTCCCATAGCATGATCGCTAGCGCACTCAGCTCACACACTGAGGTCTGGAGTTCGAATCCCAGGTACGGCTGGATAACATTAGGACGTGTTTCCATAAGACCTGCTGTTTATGTTCACCCATCAGTATAAAATGAGTACCTGGGCGTTAGTCAACTGGTGTGGGTCGCATCCTGTGACAAAACTGACTTAATTTGCCCAAAATGCTCAGCATAACAAGTGGCTTTCTATATAGTAGTATGTCATTGATGTCAGCTAGGACTGTATACCTTGTACATGTACTTGTATAGTAGTATGTCATTGATGTCAGCTAGGACTGTATACCTTGTACATGTACTTGTAGAAATAAAGATATTTTTATAAAAAAATACTTGAGGGCCTGGTCCCAGATCTTCACACTACTATAATTACATACTGGAGTGAGAGATATGGAAGTGCAAAATAAACCCAGTGAGGAGCAGGGGCGCAGTGAGCACAATAAGGGAACACTGTATCAACATTTGTGACCCCAGATTATTTAACATCTTACCAGAAGATATCACAAACACTGCTGGAACAAGTGTAGAAGTCTTCAAGAGAAAACTGGACAAGTATCTTCACTAGGTGCCAGATCAACCAGGTTGTGATGGATATGTGGGGCATCAGGCTGGCAACAGCCTGGTTGACCAGGCAAGCACCAGACGAGCCTGGCATATGGCTGGGTTCCGAGAGTAGTAAGACTTTCAAAACTCATCAAGAACATATCTGTTGTGTTGTGTCTGTGTGTTCTGTTGTAGCTATCAAGAAGTTTGAGAGGAGGGTTTATATTGGAGTTTAATGTATATATATAGTAGACACAGTAATATGAGTGTATATTTTGTATATTAAGTTCAAACTCTTGAAAGAGTGGAGGTGTGTGTTGTCTGGCACAGGAATTGGTGATCATCCACACAACAGCTTTTGTGTTGGGTTATTAAAGATTTAAGGTGATTATTCATGGTAGATCCCCAGGCACAGATAACATAGGTGAAGTAAGGGTAGATTAGAGAGTGGTATAGTGTAAGTAGTGCCATTTGGGGTACATATTACTGTATCTTGGAGATGCCTACTGTTGTGGAGTGTGTGTTGGATGCGGGTCTGAAATTTCAGGTTGTGGTCAAGGTGAAGACCTAACAATTTGCCCTGAGTGTGTCTTGTAATGGGGAAACCACTGATCAATATGTTAAGGTGGATATTTAAAGCTCTGTTTCCAAACATCATGAAGTAGTTTTTTGTCTATATTGAGAGGGAGTTTGTTGGTCATCTTCCTAGTAGATATTTTTAGTATCTGGTCATAAACAGTGCCATTAAACATAGTTGAGTTTGAGTGATAGAAGACATAAGTACAGGTCGGCCATCACTAATCAAGCAATCAGTTATCGGGTTCCATCAGTAATCCGGCACTAATTTTGGCTAGCGTAATTTCAAATTTCATCATTATGCTGACTCAGATCATTATACTGACTCAGAAACTGTGTAGATGATTGTAAATCCACAGCAGCAAGCCAGTGGAGAAAGCAGTGATGAAAATAAGGAAAATATAGCAGAAAGTCTCTACTGACAGGTTAATTCAGTTGACAGGTGAACTGCTAAAAGGTCTAGAGCAACACAGTTTTATAAGTGAACAAGAAATAATGAAAGTTTACATGGTGCAGGATAAACTATTCAAAGAAAGACCAAAATATATGAAACAGCTCAGTTTGGTTAACTTTATTAAGTGTTCTAACCTAACCACTCTGTAGTCTGACTGACCTGTAGTGTCATCTGTCAATAGAACTGATTTAATATATTGTTACTGCCTGATTAATCTTGAGTTAGTGTTAAGTTTGCCTGAAATGCTCTGCATATATATATGTACTATATAGGGGCTTTCTGCATGTATACCCAAATGTCATTCACCTTTGTACAAACATTGTATCATGCTGAAATAAAGTATTACTATTACTATTGATGTAAATGAGAAAGAGTGGTAGGCCTAGGACACCGCTCTGTGGCACTCCAACAACTACAGGCTGAGTAGACAATGTTACATTGTGCAGATATACTGGTGTCTATTGCTAAGATAAGATTTTAGGTATGCAAGGGTATGTCCTCTGACCCCATTAGTTTAAGGTGCAGGATATTGTAGTTCACTATATAAAATGCTTTCCACAGGTCTATGAAGAGCCATACACAAATAACCCACACATAGAAGAGAGGAGCTTACGACGATGTTTCGGTCCAACTTACGTCATAAGCTTCTCTCTTCTATGTGTGGGTTATTTGTGTATCGTTCCAGTCACGGTATTATGCCTTTTTTTGTTATCTATGAAGAGCCTCGGAGGATACAGTAAGTCATCAACTTACAAACATATTGTGTATAATATCATTATTATGCACAATTCAGGAGGTCCCCAGCATGTTTGTAAGTCGAGGACTTCCTGTACTAATTTTTTCCAGGACATAATGGGAAGACTAAAAGCATATACCAAAGATGAGGTAAGCAGTCCCATCTCCAAGGCTGAGGGACTGATAACCTCATCTCTTGTACATAGTTCTGTCCTTCCCATTTCAGTTTGAATTATATCCTTGAATTTATACAGATGATCCTCAACTTACTATGGAGGTTATGTTCCGATGAACTCATTGTTAGTCAAAAAATCATAAGTAAAAAAATGTCAAAAACATCATAAATCTAAATAATACTGTTAGTCAAAAATATCTTGTCGAAAATATCGTAAATCGAACATGAATATATGGTAAATAAGTGAGTCAATAAATAACTAGCATCAGTGAATAAGTCAATAAACAAATAATTAGTGTAACCAAATACCAGTATTGAAAAGTCAATAAATGAATACAAGTTAGGAACTTGCCACCTTCAAGCTGGCTAATTATCTTAAGTTTCATCTCAAAAGTTATTGCTGCTACACTGTCGTAAAGTTGAAATCATACGTCGAACCAGTGTAAGTCAGGGAGCGCCTGATGAAGGCACTGGATGGGGAAATGTCTACAAATATAACCAGGTGTTGCACATGTCTAATTTTTCATCTTGTAGGTATTGTATACCATTCATACAGTATTGTATACCATTCATACAGTATTGTATACCATTCATACAGTATAGCATACCATTCATATAGTACTGTATACCATTCGTACAGTATTGTACACCATACATACAGTATTGTACACCATACATACAGTACTGTATACCATACATACAGCTACTAGAAGCATTACAATGATAGCCATGTGTCTTATATACATACTTGCTGTGTATACCCATGTACAGGTGCTCCTTGCTTTACCATGGTTCAACTTATGATACATCAACTTTACCATGGTTCAACTTATGATACATCAACTTTACCATGGTTCAACTTATGATACATCAACTTTACCATGGTTCAACTTATGATACATCAACTTTACCATGGTTCAACTTATGATACATCAACTTTACCATGGTTCAACTTATGATACATCAACTTTACCATGGTTCAACTTATGATACATCAACTTTACCATGGTTCAACTTATGATACATCAACTTTACCATGGTTCAACTTATGATACATCAACTTTACCATGGTTCAACTTACAATATTTCAACTTTACGATGGTTCAACTTACAATATTTCAACTTTACGATGGTTCAACTTAACTCGTAACCGGCCCAAATGTATATAAACGTTTTTTCAACATTTGAAAGTATGTAAAAAAAGTAGATCTTCTTTTTGTTTTTTTACATTTGAAAATGTGTAAAAAACTTTGATCTACTTTTTTTTTTTGTTATATTTGAAAATATGTAAAAAAACGTAGATCTACTTTTGTAGCACTACGCATGTGAACGTAGATCTGCTTGGACCGTTTATGGGTTAAATTTCCACTTTATGATGGTTCAACTTACAACATTTCCACTTTACAATGGTTCAACTTACAATATTTCAACTTCACAATGGTGCGGCTTATGACATTTTCAGCTTACAGTGGATTTGTCGGAACATAGCCCCATCATAAGTTGAGGACCACATGTACTCTACACACTATATTAGTACTCTACACACAGTTTACAGATATATTACAATATAGCCTCTCCTCACTTAGAGACGTACTCATTTACCGACAACTCGGACTTACAACCGGCTCTCTGACCAGTATGCATACCTAAATAATGTATATTAGAGCTGATTTCTTCTATTCTGTTTATTACAATATACAGTACACTACTGTATAAACATTTAAAAATACATGAGAAATGTTATAAATGGTGCAAAGGTGATACAGTCCCCATCCCTTTATCCGAAATTCTGAAATTCAAAAAGTTCCGAAAACCAAAGTTTTTCATGGAGTGTGGAGCGTTGGCATCTCTACATAACTCCAACACTGCCAGCTGTGTCATAACAACATAAGAAAGGAGGAACATTGCAGCAGGCCTGTTGGCCTATTCTAGGCAGGTCCTTCACAAATCTGACCCACAAACAGAATAAACTCTACCCAAGCAATAAGCTTTGACAGTTCTACTGCTTGGGTAGAGTTTATTCTGTTAGTGGGTTGGATTTGTGAAGGCCTGCCTAGTATGGGCCAACAGGCCTATTGCAGTGCTCCTCCTTTCTTATGTTGTTATGAGTGAGAGGGGTTGGATGTGAGTGGGGCTTGCTTATTGCTTGGGTAGCATTGAAAATTGAGTTGGGAAAATATTCTATTAGTGGGATGGATTGTGAAGGACCTGCCTAGTATGGGCCAACAGGCCTGCTGCATTGCCCCTCCTTTCTTATGTTCTTATAACCATACTAGGCAGACTGTTCCACTCATCAACATAACATAAGAAAGGAGGAACACTGCAGTAAGCTTGTTGGCCTATACTTGGCAGGTCCTTCACAAATCCAACCCACTAACAGAATAAATGTTACCCCAGCAATAAGCTTTGATAATTCTATTTACTCACGTTCAAGGCCACTCAAATCCAACCCCCTCTCACTCATGTATTTTCCAACCTAATATTTTTAATATTTCTCTTCAAACAGGTGTAGTGTCTGATATGTGGAAGATGGCTAATGTAATTCCTATTTTTAAAACAGGGGACAAGTCGTTACCGTCAAATTACCGCCCAATAAGCCTAACCTCAATTGTAGGCAAATTACTAGAGTCAATTATAGCTGATTTTATAAGAAGCCATCTGGATAAGCATAGCTTGATTAATGATACTCAGCATGGATTCACGAGGGGCCGTTCCAGCCTAACTAATTTATTAACCTTCTTCAGTAAAGCTTTTGAGGCCGTTGATCATGATGAAGAAGTTGATATTGTTTATTTAGATTTTAGTAAGGCTTTTGATAGAGTACCGCACCAGAGACTGTTAAAGAAAGTGGCAGCTCATGGCGTTGGGGGAAAAGTGCTGTCATGGATTGAGTCATGGCTCACTAATAGGAAGCAGAGAGTATGCTTAAATGGGGTTAAATCTGAGTGGGGATCTGTAACAAGTGCAATACCACAGGGATCAGTCTTAGGCCCGTTGTTGTTTATAATATATATCAGTGACCTTGATGAGGGTATTACTGGAGTTTACCTGGAGAGAGTTCCGGGGGTCAACGCCCCCGCGGCCCGGTCTGTGACCAGGCCTCCTGGTGGATCAGAGCCTGATCAACCAGGCTGTTACTGCTGGCTGCACGCAAACCAACGTACAAGCCACAGCCCGGCTGGTCAGGAACCGACTTTCGGTGCTTATCCAGTGCCAGCTTGAAGATTGCCAGGGGTCTGTTGGTAATCCCCCTTATGTATGCTGGGAGGCAGTTGAACAGTCTTGGGCCCCTGACACTTATTGTATGGTCTCTTAACCGATGACACAAAGATAGGTAGGATAATTGATTCAAATGTAGATGTCAGGGAACTTCAGGAGGATTTAGACAAACTCTATTCTTGGTCAGAAAAGTGGCAGATGCAGTTCAATGTAGATAAATGCAAGGTTCTGAAGCTCGGGAGTGTCTATAACCCTAGCACTTATAAGTTAAATAATGTTGAACTTAGCCATACAGATTGCGAAAAGAACTTAGGGATTATGATAAGCAGCAACCTTAAACCAAGACAGCAATGCCTAAGAGTACGTAATAAGGCAAATAGATTATTAGGATTTATATCAAGAAGTGTAAGCAACAGAAGTCCAGAGATTATACTGCAGCTTTATACATCATTAGTAAGGCCTCACCAAGATTACACAGCTCAATTCTGGTCTCCATATTACAGAATGGGTATAAATTCATTAGAAAACATTCAGCAAAGAATGACTAAATTAATACACAGCATTAGAAATCTTCCGTACGAAGAATGATTGAAGACTCTTAAACTATATTCACTTGTAAGACGAAGAATGAGGGGAGACATGATCGAAGTGTACAAGTAGAAGATGGGTATTAACAAAGGGGATATTAATAAGGTCTTGAGGATATCTCTCCAAGAGAGAACCTGCAATAATGGATTCAAGTTGGATAAGTTTAGATTTCGAAAGGATATAGGCAAGTATTGGTTTGGAAATAGGGTAGTTGATGAGTGGAACAGTCTTCCTAGTAGGATTATTGAAGCTAAAACGTTGGGTAGTTTCAAATTTAGGTTGGATAAATACATGAGTGAGAGGGGATGGATTTGAGTGGGACTTGCATAATGAGTAAATAGAATCATCAAAACTTATTTCTTGGGTAGCATTGCAAATTGGGTTGGGCAAATATTTTGTTAATGGGAAGGATTGTAAAGGACCTGCCTAGTATGGGTCAACAGGCCTCCTGCTGCAGTGTTCCTCCTTTATGTTCTTATGTTCCTAACTTTATTTTGAAACTACCCATGGTTTTAGCTCCGAAAAGAGACTGGACAAATATATGAGTGGGAGGAACTGGGTATGATTGGTGTTGTGGGTACATAATAACATAAGAAAGGAGGAACACTGCAGTAGACCTGTTGGCCCAGACCCCACCTTCATTCTGAAATTCGAAACACTGCTGGCCCCAAGGGATGGGGACTGTATTATAACAATATCAAAGATGGTTGGCACAAACCCACTACCATTATAGTATGCTCCTCACTTAGCGATAAATTCGTTTAACGACGTGGTCTTAGGAACTGAACTCCATCATTAAGTGAGGAGAGACTGTAAGTTAAAAGTACAATGTAGCATGTAGATTTTGTGAATTATATCAGAAATCTGATATATGAGAAGTCTGTTACATCAAAAGTCTGTTATAGGAGGGTCCCACTTATACAGTGGGTTAGGTTCTGGGCTACTGTAGGGACCCACTTATCCAGCAGATTAGGTTCCAGGCTACTGTATATCAGAAGTCTGTTATATTGGCAGTCCGTTATATCAAAAGTCCATTATATCGAGGGTTTAATTTATCTTACAGCCATATGAATATAGTTTTTATACAAATCTTTTAACAGAATTATTTTGACAGTGTAACATTTAATAGGATTTTAGAATTTAACAGAATTGTTTGACATAGAATTTAATAGAAATTGTTGACACCAAAATTTTAATAGAATTGTAGAATTTGATAGAATTGTTTGATTGTTGACGAATTTTCAGAGTTTAAATACGTGATTGTTATTGTATGATTATATGGAATTGTTTTGTGATTTATATAAAGACAGGGAGAGCGGTAAACCCGTATGGCCTCCCTAGAGGAGCGGTGGGCGATCTGGTTTGATCCAAGGAAGAAGAGCCCTTTGCTAGCCTCTCAATGAATACTATAATGTATAATAGATCGTTGTATTATTCATCCTTGTATTAATTCTGGCCAGTCAATGAATAATTATTCATTTTGGCTCTGTTATAACCATAAATACTTAAAAAAAAATTCCCGGAAATTAAAATTCTGAAAAATACTCAAAAAAATTAAAAAAAAAAAAAAATATGAAAATTCTTAAAAAAACTCAAAAAATGAAAATTCAAAAAACTAAAAAAAAAAAAAAAAAAAAAAAAAAAAATCTCAAAAAATACTCAAAAGAAGACACTAAAAAAAATGAAAATTCTTAACCCGTAAACGGTCCAAATGCATATATATGTTCTCTTGCATAGTGCCCCAGATTTTTTGAGAAAAAAAAATCATTTTTTTTAATAAAAAAAAAAAAGCATATGGTACTCGGGCATCCCCAGTTATTTTAATATGGCGCACAGTGAGTGCTTATTGTGGCAATGTTGAATGTATGACGAATAAAACTTATATACGTTTGGTGCACTACTGATAAAAAAAGGAAAATTCTCAAAAATACTCAAAAAAACAAAAAAAAAAAAATTCTTGAATACACACACACCTGAGAACCTCCCCACACACCTGACAACCACACACCTGACAACCACACACCTGACAACCACACACCTGACAACCACACACCTGACAACCACACACCTGACAACCTCCCCACACACCTGACAACCACACACCTGACAACCTCCCCACACCTGAGAACCTCCCCACACACCTGACAACCACACACCTGACAACCTCCCCATACACCTGACAACCACACACCTGACAACCACACACCTGACAACCACACACCTGAGAACCTCCCCACACACCTGACAACCACACACCTGAGAACCTCCCCACACACCTGACAACCACACACCTGACAACTCCCCACACACCTGACAACCACACACCTGACAACCTCCCCACACCTGAGAACCTCCCCACACACCTGACCACTCCACACACCTGAGAACCTCCCCACACACCTGACCACTCCACACACCTGAGAACCTCCCCACACACCTGACCACCACACACCTGACAACCTCCCCACACCTGACCACTCCACACACCTGAGAACCTCCCCACACACCTGACCACCACACACCTGACAACCTCCCCACACCTGACCACTCCACACACCTGAGAACCTAACCACACCTGACCACTCCACACACCTGAGAACCTCCCCACACACCTGACAACCCCACACACCTGAGAACCTCCCCACACCTGAGAACCTCCCCACACACCTGACAATCCTACACACCTGAGAACCTCCACACACACCTGACAATCTCCCCACACACCTGACACCCTCCCCACACCTGACAACACCACACACCTGACAACTACACACACACACACACCTGACAACCTCCCCACACACCTAACAACTTCCCCACACACCTGACCACCTCCCCACTCACCTGGCAACCTCCCCACACACCTGACCACTCCACACACCTGACAACCTCCCCACTCACCTGACAACTCCACACACCTCCCCACTCACCTGACAACTCCACACACCTGACCACTCCCCACACACCTGACAACATCCCCACTCACCTGACACCCTCTCCACTCACCTGACAACCTCCCCACACACCTGACAACCTCCCCACTCACCTGACAACCTCTCCACTCACCAGACAACCTCTCCACTCACCAGACAACTCCACACACCTGACAACCTGTTTAATGAAATTAATTGTTTGGTAGGCTGTAAGCGGGTGGTTAATGATATATGTCTTCAGAGGCTTCTTACTTTATTAAGTCGTGGTGGGTACACAGGCTTGTGTGTTTGAGCCCATGGCCCGGGCAGGGCCATCCCACGAGAGAGAGCTAGGAGTAGGCCTTGTGTCTTCCTGCTAGGCCACTGTGAGAGTGAGGCAAGGGCAGGCAGGCTGAAGTGGCAACGCCTATAGGTGGCAGCACCAGCATGGCGCGAAATGTGAACTAAGCTGGCAGACAGCATGGGCTGTCTGTGCAGACAGTACAGGCTGTCTACATACACTCGGCCACCTACCGCACGTCGTCCCGACGCGACAATACTGGTGGTAAAAACAAACTCGGCCTCTCTCTCGTAGGCACAGGGCACAGAACACAAAATAAAAACATATATATACATATGGACAGGAAAAAAAACTTCCAACAGTGAGGGAAGAAAAAAACATGTGGGGTGTGCTAAACATCGTGGTTAAAGGCAGTGAGTGTCGAAGTGCATCACTGCATGCCTTCCTGCGTCTGGACAGATACTGCAACACAGGAGACATTGCTGCGGCTGAGCTGTGACGTAACAGGGTACGGTCTCCTCTGGAACGGTAAAGCAGACATCTTAGGAGTCACTGCAGGTTTCACTCAACCTGGGGCACGACATGCTGGTGCCCTCGAGTGAGGCGTCGACAAAACTCGGCAACTAGGCAGGACTTCTGGCAAGCGACTCAGGAGGACACTTCTCGACTGGTACTGTCGCTGGGCTGTCACTGCCGGTGAGCGTGGAGCGAGTTGTGGCAGAGACGACTGGGCGAAACATCTGGGAGTTGTAACATCATACACCAGACTGCAGTGAGAGAGCTAGCAGTCAAAGTGACATCATCTTTGTGCAGGCTGCTCACTGAAGTTTGTGACACGAGGCTGACACAGCGCCTGCCGACAGTGGCTAACTGCGGCTTGACGAGTGTCATTCTCTCGACAGTTGGAGTTATAGCAGAGGTTAGTCTAAGCATCCCCAGACTTGTTTCTCTACATATAACTGCACTCTAATGGTCTGGAGGTGAAGTGAAACAAATCTCGATGGGAATCGTAGCAGGTACGATTCTGCAGAACATCACAAGCGACGAGCATAAAAGCTTTCTGTACAAGAGGGCTCAGTCACTCGGGGCTGAGTAATCAGCTGTCAAACACAATGGTCACACGGGTGACTTAGCACAGTGGTGCTACTCAAGTCTGGCTGAGACCTCACTGGACACACAGAAACTTTACACACCCGCGGTACATGTGGTACAACATGGCTTAAACTAGCAAATGATGCTTTTCTGTGCATAAAACTGACACTAAAACATATACTAAAATGTGAGAACACTGACTGAGAGGAATTAATTAACACACGACATATATCTTCTCTCAATCTTCTCGACAATACTGAAATAATTACTGAACATTTGATGGTGACATCATGTGATGTCAGGCGTGATGTCGCGAGGTGAAGTCAGCAGACATCTCGAGATGACATCAGCAGCACTGTGACATCAGCAGACATCTTGAGGTGATGTCAGGCAGACATCGTGACATCATGAAGTCGGGCAGCATCGTCGGTGACGTCAATGTGATGTGGGCAGCAGACCACAGCATGTGGCCTGGGACATCTGGTAACTCGCGTAGCTCGTAGGTCCACGTGACATCGCCCACACCCAACGTGGCATCGTGATCCATGTGGTGTCGTGATCTATGTGGCATGCTGGTCCACGTAGCTTCGAGTGGCCTCGGGCACTCGGATACACAGCTCTGGCAATGAATCACACGAAAAGCAGCAGAAAACACAGTAGAGGGAGTGGGCAGTGGTGAGTGTATGGTAGATGGGTGAGCGTGAGTAGGGCGAGCATGGGCAAGGTGAGGAACGGCCACTTCCTCCTCCTCCTCCTCCCCCACCCACAAACACGTGGAGAAGCTCACACCGGACGTAGAAATCACCACAAAGCTCACCTCTGGCTTGCTGAAACAGCTGTGCTGAGCTGAACAACAGCAGAACATACAAGTGACGCTGAACACGTGACTTGAGAAACAGCGTGGGACGCTGTAGCGTGGGGTCACTGGGACGCCACTTACAATTCTCAGAGAAATTCGGCAAATTTCGGCTGGATCCTGCTTGTACCTGTGTCTGGATGCTCAAATGTCCAGACACATCAGGATAACTCGTTGAGAGACGGATGCTTCTTGTATAGGGTGATGAAGTGAAGATGACTTCATACCTCTTCCTTCCTCTCTCTGGGCAAACACAACTGCTGCAACCACCGCTGCTACCAATGTTTAATGAAATTAATTGTTTGGTAGGCTGTAAGCGGGTGGTTAATGATATATGTCTTCGGAGGCTTCTTACTTTATTGTTAAGTCGTGGTGGGTACACAGGCTTGTGTGTTTGAGCCCATGGCCCGAGCAGGGCCATCCCACGAGAGAGAGCTAGGAGTAGGCCTTGTGTCTTCCTGCTAGGCCGCTGTGAGAGTGAGGCAAGGGCAGGCAGGCTGAAGTGGCAACGCCTATAGGTGGCAGCATCAGCATGGCGCGAAATATGAACTAAGAACATAAGAATAAGAATGTAGGGACACTGCAGAAGGCCTACTGGCCCATACGAGGCAGGTCCTTATCAAAACGACATCTACCTAAAGCTGGCAGACAGCATGGGCTGTCTGTGCAGACAGTACAGGCTGTCTACAAACCTCCCCACTCACCTGACAACCTCCCGACTCACCTGACACACACCTGACAACTTCCCCACTCACCTAACAACACACACCTGACACCCTCCCCACAAACCTGACAACCTAATCACACACCTGACAACCTCCCACAAACCTAACAACCTAACCACACACCTGACAACCTCCCCACAAACCTAACAACCTAACCACACACCTGACAACCTCCCTACTCACCTGACAACCTCCCAACACACCTGACAACTCCCCACAAACCTAACAACCTAACCACACACCTGACAACCTCCCAACACACCTGACAACCCCCCACTCACTGACATCCTCACACACCTGACAACCTCCCACACACCTGACACCCTCCCACTCACCTGACAACCTTCCTATACATCTGACCTCCCCACACCTGATAACCTCCCCACACCTGATAACCTCCCCACAAACCTGACAACCTAAGCACACATCTGACCTCCCCTCTCACCTGGCAACCTCCCCACAAACCTGACAACTTCCCCCTCTCACCTGACACCCTCCCCTCTCACCTGACAACCTTCCTACACATCTGACAACC